TTCCTAGCATTTCAAGAAAGGTTCAGAATTTCACAGATGCCTGGCAAACCCAAGCCAAGAAAGTTTCGTTTACACAGAGGTGATGTGTGATACATTAAATGTTGCTAATGAGCATCAGGTGTTTTGCAGGGGAAAATGACTCCTTGTCTTATGTAAAGTAATTATTTTAAAGATCTATTTAGCATTTAGATTGCTTAGGAGGGAAAAAGCTTCCAGCAACTCCTTGCCTTGAAAAATGCTCTGGTAATAAATGGGTCTCCTTGAACATTGGTTTTGTCTCCCTAGACAGAAAAGAGAGAAGACACTTTAACTTGGGATAATTAGAAGGACATAGTTGGGTTGTCTTTGTCAATGGTGTTATAACATACAGCCACTACATTTAAAGTAAACAAACAAAACCATGGAATAGTGTGTTTAAGCAAACTAAAAATTCCTGCATTAAACACTTTAAGTTATTTGAGAGGGGCTCTGAAAGAACCAACTTGAATTCTCACGCTTTGTAATTCTATGCATTAGGTAAACAGTTCAGTATGGTTTTGTACACAGCTACAGCTGTCAAATTTTTAACATCCTTTTCAGCCATTAATATTTCTGGACTAATCCTCTCAGATTCCACAAACCAGTACTCGGATGGGAGACTTCCAAGGCAAACCCCATGTGCTCCAAGAAGTGGTACTGGCTATTCAGTAGGGGAAGCTCTTGTGTCCCAGCCTGGTGTTAGGGGGTGCCGTGCTAGTCAAGGTGCAGTCTTTCCAATGTGAGAGAAGACAAAGGTCTTGAGCACTATATAAAAATGACTTGGACGCACTCACTTGACCATTGCTTTGTTTCAGAGCCTCACAAAGTGATTCATACCATAGAAATAAATGTATTTTTGATCTGTTGTCTCTTGTCTTATACTTAGATTGTGAGCTCCTTGGGGCAGAGCCTGTCTTTTTGTTCAGTTTGCACAGCACCTAGCACAGTGGGGTCCCAGCCACTACAGCAATACAAAGAATAAATGTAAATCTCTCTCTGCTGATTGGTACCTCTTCTGTTTATTGCTGGTTCTAAGGCACTCAGACACCATTGTGATGGTTGCATAAGCATAAGCATCTCTGTTTACTATTTGAACAATGCAAGCCATATGCTAGGTGGTGTTTCATTTCTATGACAGATTCCGCCTTAGCACAGTGATCTTTCAGTGTGGACTCTGTGTGCACCTATATAGCTGTACAAAATTGCCAAGAAAATTGCCAGGAATAAGATTTACATGCCTGCCCTTTTCCATGATAATCTATAATTATCAAAAGCAAGTGAGTAGAATTTTTCCCAGGCTGTGTAGATGGGAGTTTGTATGGATGAGTGTGTGTACATACACACGACAGCTGGGTGAATAACTGATTTTTCTGTTAGCCTAGCGTTCAGGTGGAGCCAAAACCGATTTTTTAAAATTTTTGGCTAATCAAAAAAGTCAGAAAGTTTTTGTTTCAGGTCAAACCAAAATATTTTTTTCCCATCACAAAATGAGACGTTTTATTTTTGGCATTTTAAACCTTCTTGACAAAAGCAAAGGAAAAGCAGAGCTAGAATGACTAGGCAGAGAGGAGGAGATGGTGGCGACCCCCTTCTCCAGAGTAGCCAAGTGGTTCGAGCACTCAGGTGAGAGGGGAGGAGACCCGGGTTCCAGTATCTGCTCCCGAATTGGAATTTGAGTCTCCACACCCCAGGTGAGAGGTCTAACCACTGGTCTGTTCTCTTAAGGGTGGGGAGGGAGGTGCACTACCATCACTGCCTCCTCTGTTTTGTGAAGGGCACCTTAATCCCCTTATGAATCTAGCCTGAAAAATCAAAACGTTTCATTCGGATAATGTCAGAGCTATTCACGTTGACATTTCCCACCTTTTTTCATTTCAGCCAAATGCAACAGTAAATGCTTGTGTATACAGCAGGGTGCCTAACTGCCTGTCGTGCACCTGGAGTCAAGACTAGATAGGAAACACTTTATCTTGTATTTGAGCAATAATCTTGCAAAAGATCAAGCACTGTGATACAAGTTATCCGGTCCTCTGAATTTCTTATGCAATTGTCCTATGTCCTTGAAACTTAAGAGGGTTCCTCAATATTAAAATGTGAGCATAAATCTATCAGTGTAAATCATTCATTGCAAGTAGGGTTGGTTTATAAGATGACCAATTATGGTAACCCAGCTATTGAAGGAACAGATGAGTGGGACAGATAGAAGAGAGAAGTAGGACTAAGGAAATCCTGTGTAAAAGTCAGGAGAGACTCATGAGGCTGGAGAGACACCTGTGGTAGCCTAAGGCAGCACCAAGGACAAATGAACCAATGTGCCAGCAGCTGATCTGAAGACTGAGAATATCAGGAGGTTGGAACAAAGGTTGTGAGAGCACAAAACAGTGCTAAGAACAAGAGAAGTCATGGCCCAGCCAGCAGTCAAAGTGAGGTGGAAGAAAGCCTTGGGCATTTAGAAAGAGAGCCCTCACTGAGATCCTGCTGCCAAACTGAGGTTCGAAAAGACTCAGGAGCCTGGTGAGAAGGGTGTGGGGACCTGAGGGAATCCTGGTGGCTGGAGAAACCAGTCTGTGAGTGGTGGTGGGGAAAAGAGGCCTGGGGAAGAGCAAGTGGAGACAAAGTCATAGGGACTGGAGGCATCAAAAAGGTAAGAGGGGTTTGTGCGTATGTGATTTTAGATTGGAGGAAAAATTATGCCCTGGTCACTCATTTTTGTTAATTTTATGAGAGGATCCCTTTATGCCCAGGTCAGCTCATGTGCAAGTGGATACAGTCTGTATTTATACTGGCTTAGTTCAGTGTCAGATGGCAGTAAGTGTTTTGCGCTGGTTTCCATGGAAATGTTAACCATAGTAGTTGGTATCCATTGAAATCATTATTAAAAAATAGTCCCCCCGGGTGGATTATTTTGTTGTCTTTTCTCCCATGGTGACTGAACAGAAGGATATTGATGGAGTTGGGTTTATTCTGCCTTTTTGCATTACACAGTACCAAGCATATCCCAACCAGAAATCACAGATGCCATTCAAAGAAGGGACAGTTCTGACCCAAAGCTTTGCAGGTTACCAAGTGCTACTTTGATCATTTCCCAGAGTGATTTCCAGTGTACGAAGGAGGTTACCTCACTCTTAAGTTTCTCAGCTGTTTTGGCCACACTGCTTACTTAGTGGTGAGATACAGACGCCTATGGATTAATTTGTCAGAAAAGTGACAATGAGCTTGAGTCTCTCCTGTGCCTAGACTCCACTTAGTGCAGCAGTAGGGTGGAGGCTGCCAGGGAACCAGGTACAGCCCCTTGATTCTCAGCCTGCCCAGCCCCAGCATGACTTTGTTCAAACTGGGGTCACCGCTATAACATCCCTAAGGGACCTTACAACAGTGAAATGGAGCAGAGCCGAGCTGAGCCCTGCCCTCCCCCCAGGCAGGGAAGCTGGTACAGGAGTAATACTCGTTTGCAAGCGGTGCCTGTGCTACACTGTTCTATATGCCTAACCCGTCTCTACAAGGAGGAGGGAATCATCCTCCCGCATTCCCCAGGTCAGATGCAGCCAGTTTGGCCCTTGGGAAAGCCGTGCCTGTTTCCTTGGATAGGGCCTGTTAAAAGCCTTCAGGCTCAGTGAATGTTTGCTCAGCTTCCTAGGTTCTAAGGAGCTTGCAAATCTCAGTACACATGTAGAGAAATTGGGCTAATATCCTGCAGCCCAGCCAAGACCTGGAGTTCCCACTGCATTTCAAAACACCTTCATTTGCTGTTCAGCACACCCATGTAACATCAAATACAAGATATGATACCTACCAGCCTGAGGAGGGACTGCTGGGTCTTCTCACTTCTATTAAGTTCCAGGGAAGCTTGAAACCAGTTCCCCCTTTCAGGCAGTCACTTCCTGGAGTGGCCACCATTGGCACAGGGCCAGAGCCACCCAGGTGTAGCAACAGGCAGCCATGATTAAGCCCTGATTCTAAACCCAAAATTTCAAAATGGAAGCTCTGGCTGAGTCATTCAGGGAAGCTGGTGGTGGCAAGAGGAATCCTGTAGAATTACTTCTGGAAGAAACTGGGGAATCAAACTGCATGAAAAGGCCTGAGCACCTAATGTATGTCTCTAAGCAGCTCCACAGGGGTAAGTGATGTCTCCTCTCCCCCAAGCCAGGGGCAGAAGGATGGCCTGGTAAGGGACAGGCTTGCAGCTTTAGGTGAGAGGATCTGGGTGGCAAGGGGAGACAGTCTAAGGAGGAGAGGCTCTGTGAAAATACTGTTCATGGAAGATTTTTTGCTGATGTAGTAGCTTAATGTTAACTGCTCTCCACAACTACTTCTGTGCTGCAGGAAAGAAAGGATGCTCTTCTTCCTAGCCTGTTAAAAGGGACTTGCTATGCTATTTGTGACTAGTTCTCTTTAGTTGCCAGGAGCACCCTATAAATCGCTAAGTCAACTCCCGCAGTGTTTCTTTTGAAGTGCCCTGGGACTCCGGGCAAAGGATTCTGGGATGCATCTGCGGAGGAGCAGTTACAAGTGCCACAACGTAGCTAAACGGCAAGGGGAGCAGAGAAGGAACCCCTGCTTCACAGAAAGCAAAGAAAATAAAGAGTCTGAACGCTTTTTTCAAAGTGGATTTTATTCCAGGCATTTAAATAGACAAGTTCTGGCACATGCTTTGTTGAAAAAAAGGAAAAACAACCTGTGTTTCACATAAACTACATTTGGCAAAGAAAACTTTTTAACCAAGTGAAAGAAAATAAACTCTTTGAAATTGATTTCTGTACAGCTGTAGTTTTAGCTCCTGTTAAATAAACTCTAAATCACCTGGCACACTGCACATGAAATTACACTGGATGATCTGATTTAATAAGCGCTTTCTTAAGGACATTCTCTTCTATTAATCTGAAAGCTCTTCCTCATAGTCTAGATGTATGTCCAAAGTCAATAGGCAAAACAACAACCAGTCACTACTTGTTCTGATTGTTTGTTTTTACAAAGTGAGGGGCAAACCGTGAGGTTTTTACCAGCCAAAGCTCCCACTGAAGTCAGTGGGAGCTTTGACTGAGAAAGGGCTTCAAGATATGGCACTAATGGAATTGGACTAGCAGAAGCAGCACCCTGTGTGGAAAGGGTGATGATCACATCCCTCACGTAAGATCTATGAGGAAATACATTTATAACCGATTTAGACGAGTCCTCAACTGCTTTGGGAAGGTGGTTGGTTTGTCTGAAATGGAAAGAAGTAGCACTCTGTACTGGTTCCTTATCAAGGATCATGACAATCAAACAGGAGATCTGCAAACGATTGATTGATCGTAATGTAAATCACCAAAGATGTGTGAGGGAGTTATATTTTGGAATTCAGCCTTCTGTTAGCATGCAGTGCTGCAGGTACTTCTGGGCCTGACACCCAGTGCAGGCAATGAGGAAATCACTTGGGGTTGATTTTGCATGGAATATTTATTGGTGAATGGAGCTCTTGAACCAGGACTGACCTTTAGTCAAACAGCAACCTTGGAAGATTCAGAACGTGGAGACTCCATACATACAGGGCTCAGGAGCCAGAGCCAGTAGCAACGTTTCTTCAGAGGGTCTCCTCACAAAGAGAAACCCTCCGCAATTGTTTTGTTTGAGGAGGTGGAGTTAGAGCTGGCTTTAGCCCCCAGTGGAGTTACCAGACAAATTCTTAAAAGGGAACTGCAAGTAAGACAGCGCTTCTCTCCCTGTCTCACGCGGAAGGCTATGGACACACTAACACTTATCAGAGGAACAGCCGTGTTAGTCTGTATTCGCAAAAAGAAAAGGAGTACTTGTGGCACCTTAGAGACTAACCAATTTATTTGAGCATGAGCTTTCGTGAGCTACAGCTCACTTCATCGGATGCAACTAACACTTATGTTGGCATAACTTACGTCGCTCAGGGGTACGAATAAGTTGCTAGCAAGGAATATTAACCTGCAGGGTGGGAAAATAGGGAAGCGCAGGGGGTCTCCTTAGGCACTATTTTGACAAAAAGCTGCAGTCTACAAGCATTTGAACACACAAAGAAATTACCAGCCACTTCCTCTCAATCTTTCTTCCTTTTAGTTTTGTCAGCCAGGTAAGTTAGACTTCCCTGCTCCCCACTGCCTGAAGCAGCGCCTCCTGCCTGGGGCTGGGATGCGAAGGACTTTATCTTTTTTCCCGAGGGCCTGGCTGTCCCACGTTCGCTCGCTCTTTCAGTTTTCCTCTCCCCCTTGCTCTCATTTCCTCTCCCTCTGTTCTCTCCGCCCCCTCTCCCGATGCTGCCTCGTCCCAGCGCCGCCCTTAGGCACACGCGGCTGCGTGCAGCACCATTCCCCTCGCGGGCCGCGGCTGGTCTCCTCTCTTCTCCGCCCCCCCCGCGCTCAGCCGGCGGGCTTCTCCCCGCCCCCTCCCTCGCTTGCTTCTCAGCCGCTTGGCTGAGGGCTCCCGCTTCCGGCTCTGCCGACCCAGCCCCAGCGGGCCCAGAGCGGAGTCCCTCCCTGGACCCCGCCTGCCTGCGCTGCTCGCTCTCCGGTGGGGGCCGGGCCGGGGAGCGAAACTTCCACGGGAATCAGCGGCGGGTGGCTGAGCGGGAGAGGGAGAGGGAGAGAGAGAGCGGGGGGGGGGGGGCTTCAAGTGACAGTGCGCTCACTGTCTCTCACACTTCCCTAACACACACACAGACTGGCTCTCACACCCACGTGCACTCTGCCTCTCACCAGTCACAGTCCCCCAATACAGATTGTCACACACACACAGTCTCACACTCCCCAACACACATTCTGTCACACAGCCCAACACACAGTCGCTCTCTCACACGCACACAGGTTCTCTGTCTCTCTCACATGCACTAGTTCTCTCTCTCACACACACACGCTTGTATTATTGGTGGTGGTGTTACTGCTTGGTACTTCCTGTCAAAATGCTCAGGGTGAGCCAGGAGTGGCTAGGGGCTGTAGGGGCGGGGGAGATTCTGGGGGTCCATATGTGGGGGTGGTGGCTGTGCCCCCTCGCCACACTGGGGTCACACTGGAGCCAGCTGGGGACCTCCTTCAGTGGAGCATAGGGGCACCAGTTTAATAATACTGCATAGGGCCCCATAAATCCTAAGAACATGCCTGGCTCTTCCTCTTTTTCCCTGTATTCATTCTCTCTTTCTCTGTCTCTAAGACCTTGCCCTTGCTCTTCTTCATCCTTCTGATGTGCACTTGCATGGCACTGAAGCATCTCTGCAGGACACAGGAGGAGAAGGCAGCAGTACACCTGGACTCTGCCCAGCACTCCCTCCTCCCATACAGGTAGTGCTGCACCAAATGGAACTTGCCCCAACTGGGAGTGGGGAATGGCCGCCTGAGTTTTCATTCGCTACGCAGATCACTCATCAGATTCATCCAAGGACATTACTAAGATGACTAGCTACACTGAAATGAAATATCAGCCAGTGAATGTTATCCTGAACCAGCAAGGACTTCCAGTTTTCAATATGCTGGAAAAACAAAACAAGAGCTAATAAAGGATAAATACTTTGCACCTCTAGAGCACCTGTCATCTGAAAATCTTAAAGCACTTTATGAACACTAATGAATTAATTCACATGGCACCCATATGAAATAGGTTCTGTATTTCTTCCCCATTTTTAAAATAGGGAAACTGAAGTGTAGAGAGGTTAAGTGACTTGCTCAAAGTCACACACTTTGGCAGAGCCAGAAAAGAACCCAAACGTTCAGACTCCTGCTGCTTTGTCTACTGCTCAGGTATGGATTCTGCCACCTGTCTGGATGACAAACTTTTTTTTTTTAAACAGAAGAATAATAGCAAATGATGAATCCTCTTGTTTTCATATCAGCACTCTTATTCACATGCAGATACAGGTACAAAGAGCTACTGTTCTCCAGTGTGCAACTAAATCATTTGTGAATAGAGAATTAAAAAGAAGACACAGATATGGTCAAAGCAAACAGCTGTTTAGAATTTAAAGAAATACGCTCATTGTTTTGCTATATTTGCCCTGTTCTAGTGGTGGTTGTGGGGATTACAAAATCCAACAGCAATACAAAGGGTTTAATAGGCTTGTCAATTAAAACAATTTTGGCTTTTTTCCAGATGTAAACCACCTCCTGCAACTCTGGAAACTCAAACCTGACACACAACTGGGGGGCTCCCAGAAAACAAAAAGGGATACTAACTAGAAACAGAAAGTGAAACTGGCTGTTCTATTTACAGAAAGCAAACAGCATAAGTAAGGAAAATTCACTAAATTTTTAGCGTTTCCCCTATTTTTATAACTTCAGGTATGTAGCACAGACTGATTGTTCTTAATGTATGGATTTGTATCCTGATGCTATTTCTTTAGGAGACCTTTGGTCTCCTGGATGAAAAAGAGAAAGGCTCAGCTTTGCTAACGCCTTCACAACTTGGGATACACAAGTATTCTCAGTACCAGGCCTTTCCACACCATATTCATTTAAGTAAAAGAAGAACTGGAGGCCTTTACGGGCACACCTTGTCTGTCTGGTAGTGAAGGGTTAGGAATGGCAGATTCTGGTGATCAGAGCCCCTTTGTGCCAATAGCAGCAGGGTGAATTCTTGCCCTCCCTCTCCACCTATGCATGGATGAAAACAAAAAGGGTTGGGGTGCGAGTGACCAAACACTTGGACTGTATGCATCCCCATTTAGAAGTGAGAGAGAACACAAGGAAATGCCTTAGTGTGAGCACTAATGGAATGGGGAGTGGGTTCAGAAAAGGGAAGGTGGGTGGGTGAGTACTAACCCTTTGGAGGGAAAAGCTGGTCTTCTCGGCTGGGAAGAGCTAATGAAAGAAGAGCAGCAAAATCCTCAAACCTTTTAGCTGCCTGTCTTTGAGAGAGGGTGAAGGTTAGTAAAAGGAGAGCTGCTACCCCAGGCTGTATTCACATGGACAGCGCATGTGCACACACACACACACACACACACACACTTCACTGCGCTCCTTTGGCATAACCCCCAGTAAGAACACAGTAATTACCCAGGGGATTGCACTCTCTCTGTGTTAGTGCATCCCAGCTGAGGAAAGGCAGAAGGGAGCGATATTGGCTCCCTCCACATTGCTTGGCCTGTCATCACCGAATACACCAACACACGCTGTCAGTGCAGTGCCGTGGAATGCCTTCGGGGTGGGGCTTAATGGACATTTCCTAGCGGTTGTAGCATCAGATCTATCAGTCTCAGAGTAACCTCCAGCAACCTCCTATATCCCAGAATTTAGCCAGTCATTTTCTGAATGTCAGGTCAACTCATAGCAGAGTAACACTGGGGGAGGAAGGAAATGCACAAACTAAAGCCTGGCTATTTCTCCGGTTCCCTGGGTGTAGGGTACAAGAGCAGGGGCTGTTATACAGATACTGGCATTTCATAATAAGCTTGCATCCTATCCTAGGACTCCGTCATATGAAGCACACCAATCTGACTGGTTAATGAGAGTTGGGTTTGGATTACCACCTACAGCAATGGTATTTGGCCTCTCTAAGATCTCACCACAGAAGCCTTCCTGACCATCATGGCTATTTCCCATAGGAAATGGGAAGCTGTAAAAAGAAACTCTGGAAGGAATGACATTGACATGATCCAGTGGAACACTGCACAAATACAAACCTTCCCCCCCTGCATCCATTACCCCTCCTCTGCCCATTCTCCATCCATACTACAAATTATGTGTACAATGGCAGTGTCTGCAGACTGACCAACCAAGAATGATGCCCCAGTGTGCTAGGCCCTGTCCCAACACAGTCCCTGCCCCTCAGATCCACTGCCCATCTCCCAACCCATGCATTAGTTATGTTGCATTTCCCACAAAGCAACCTCATTGCAGCAGTTCGAGACAACACACACAAATAACACAAGATGTTATAGAGGAAAGTCAGTGGAGCCCAGGAGCCACCAAGAGTCTGTAGAAGCATTGTCAAGACCACTGGTTACATGGAATCCACAGGACTGAAGATCATAAAGTTCAATGCAAAGAAAGGAGAGAGCTGTTACTCAGTACTTGTTGCTCCGAGCTCTATTCGGCTATTGGGTTGTGCCCTCTCTTACCTTTGATTGCTGTTGTATGAGGATGTCAGTCACCGCAAAGAAGAAACAGATGGATCAATTTCAGTGCCACTTCTTATCCCCCCTCCCCTAACTTCTTCCTTAAAAGTTCAAAAGCAGTGAATGTTCAGCTGAAATGGTGACTTGCTGATGATCACAATCGAAACATTAGCGTTAGAAATAATAAACCTTTACTCCCCACCCTAACCCCTTCCATTCCCCAAGTCTCATGCAAAAAGAAAGAGAGAAGTTTCCGGGCTACCATCATGTGGCTTGTAGCAGCTCCCACTGTTGGCCGGATCTATCCGATTGGCATGGGTTGGTCACCACCCTGCTGGACTGGTTTTCCAGACAGAGGCCGCTGACAAAGTGCTGAATGAAACTGCCTTTCATCTTCCATTTCTGAGAGAAGGGGTGGGAAGAAGGGAGGAGAAAGAAGAAACAATGTAGTGAGATGAAAGGCTCCCCCTACTTTCACCATGGAGGCTGCTCCTCCCAGCTTGAAACAGGAGGCAGGGTTTGGAACAATTGGCGGGGGGACATAGTGGAACTTCAGGAAATTGGAATTCTGGTTTGTGGTGACATTTCCAAAATCTGGGATCCTCTGTATTTTCCATAATCAGGGTTTGGCTGATAGGAGTTCACCTGTACTTATAGGGACAGGTTTTCACGGGTATTTAGGAGCCTAACGATGCACATAGGCACCTAGTGGGATTTTCAAGGGAACCTAAGCGGGTTATGTTCCTAATTTCCTTATCTGCATCTCTAGGCACCTGCTGGCCCACGGAGAATCCCTCTGCTGCAGGGTGCAGGCCAAATCCTGCTCACGCTTACCTTAGTGTAAACCAGGGCTGCTCTGAGATTACACTGCTGTAACACAGCAGAATCTGGCACACATAATAATTACAATGGCATAAAACATACCATATAAAACCAACTATGATATTAGAAAGCCAAAGTGGTATTAAAAGGGGGCTGGCTGCAACCTGGCCCTACATTTGAATACTTTGTTTTGCAGGGGAGTGTTTGAAGTGAGCTGTAGCTCACGAAAGCTCATGCTCAAATAAATTGGTTAGTCTCTAAGGTGCCACAAGTACTCCTTTTCTTTTTGCGAATACAGACTAACACGGCTGTTCCTCTGAAACCTGTTCTATCACTGTTTAGTGCCATGGGGAAGGACAGGCCCAGGCAGAGGCAGCAAGGGCAGGAATTCCACACCCTCAGAACCACCTCTGCAAACAGCCCTTCACCTTGCTGAGCCAATGCAGGATGGGGAAAGCTGAAAGGTGAGTCGGGTCCGAACAATGCAGATTGCCATGAAGCAGCAGCTCAAGGAAGAAGTCTCAGATATAGCCAAGTCCCTTCTCCATTAAGGGCTTTAAAAGCCAATGGAGCTGCCTTAAAGTCAAACTGTCACTTCAAAGTAAGAACCTTTCTTTCCTCTGTCTAATTTCTGAAGACAATTCACAAATCTATCTCTCCAGTCCTAGCCAGGCCCCTTCCATCCCATCCCACATCTCCTCTGGAAGATTTTGTCGGCTTGAATTTAACATGGGAGAAGCCAGATTCCTTATCTTCTTTCCCAAACTCTGTCCACTTCTACCTCCTCTGTCACTGTTGCAACATCACTACCCTCCCTCTGACTCCCGCCTATGACCTGGGGTATTTTTGGCTGCTCCCTTTCCCTTGCATCTGGGTTACGTCCAAATCATGTTGCTTCCTCCTCCTCGGTACCGACAAGACCCATCATTTTCTTTCCATTCACACAGCTAAATCTCTGATCCAGGCCTTCATTATATCTCATCTTAGTTACAGCAACATCTCTGTCTCTGCCTTCCCCAAAGCCTACTTTGCCTTTCTCCACTCTATATAAAATGCCACAGCAAGTCATCATCTGCTTGCCCATTGATCTGATCATGTCACTGCCCTCTTTAAAGCCCACCACTGGCTCCTTACCCGCTAGCACATCAAATTCAAACTTTTTATCACCACCTAGAAAGCTCTTTATAACTCTGCCCCTCCCTACTTATCCAAGCTGATCTCACTTCAAGCTGCCCCAACATTCCTCCACTCTGCCAGCATTTCCACCCTGACTGCCACGTTGTCAGCATCTCAATAAATGCCTCTATGCCTTCTGCCATGCATGGAGCAACGTCCCTGGGCTCATCCGCAAGGTCTCCACCCACAAAGAATTCTCTTGGTGGCCCACTGTGGTTGTGATGCTTACACTGAAAGGTCAAAGTATGTATTAGGAGTCCGGTGGCACCTTAAAGGCTAACAGATTTATTTAGGCATAAGCTTTTGTGGGTAAAAAACCCACTTCTTCAGATGCATGGAGTAAAAATTACAGATGCAGGCATTATTATACTGACACGCGACGAGAAGGGAGTTACCTCACAAGTGGAGAACCAGTGCTGACAGGGCCAATGCAATCAGGGTGGATGTAGTTCACTCCCAATAATTGATGAGGAGGTGTCCATTCCAGGAGAGGCAAAGTTGCTTTTGTAGTGAGCCAGCCACTCCCAGTCTCTATTCAAGCCCAAATTAATGGTATTAAATTTGCAAATGAATTTTAGTTCTGCAGTTTCTCTTTGAAGTCTGTTTCTGAAGGTTTTTGTTCAAGTATGGCTACTTTTAAATTTGTTATAGCACCTCATCAACCTATCCTGGAAAATGATCCCTCACTCTCAGAGACCATGGGAGGCAGGCCAGTCCTCGCTTACAGACAGCTCCTCAACCTGAAGCAAATACTCACCAGCAACTACACACCACACCACAGAAACACTAACCCAGGAACCACTCCCTGTAACAAACCTCATTGCCTACTCTGTCCCCATATCTACTCTAGCGACACCATCAGAGGACCCAACCACATCAGCCACACCATCAGGGACTCATTCACCTGCACATCTACCAATGTGATATATGCCATCATGTGCCAGCAATGCCCCTCTGCCATGTACATTGGCCAAACCGGACAGTCTCTATGTAAAAGAATAAATGGACACAAATCAGACATCAGGAATGGTAACATACAAAAGCCAATAGGAGAACACTTCAATCTTCCTGGACATTCTGTAACAGATTTAAAAGTAGCCATACATACTGGAACAAAAAAACTTCAGGAACAGACTTTAAAGAGAAACTGCAAAACTAAAATTCATTTGCAAATTTAACACCATTAATTTGGGCTTGAATAGAGACTGGGAGTGGCTGGCTCACTACAAAAGCAATTTTGCCTCTCCTGGAATGGACACCTCCTCAGCAATTATTGGGAGTGAACTACATCCACCCTGATTGCATTGGCCCTGTCAGCACTGGTTCTCCACTTGTGAGGTAACTCCTTTCTCTTCGCGTGTCAGTATAATAATGCCTGCATCTGTAATTTTCACTCCATGCATCTGAAGAAGCAGGTTTTTTATGCACGGAAGCTTATGTCCAAATAAATGTTAGTCTTTAAGGTGCCACCAGACTCCTTGTTGTTTTTGTGGATCTACCCCTTGATACTTGAAAGTATGTGTTGTTTCCTCTTAGCCCCAATCTCTCATTACTTGCCTCTTTGCTTCAACAGTGAGTTCTTTGGGACGGGCTGCACCTGCATTTTCACCCAGCATAGACCGGGCCTAGGGAAGAGTGCTTTCTACTGAGTCATCAGCATCGCTTCCCACAATACACAGGTGTTCCTATGTATACATAGGAGGCTCCCCTCCAAGTGCTAACCAGGCCAAATGGTGCTTGGTGGATGAGAGTTGGGAAGACCACAGCCTGAGGCTGCATGGCTGCAGGTAGTTTCCTGTGAAGGTTTTTGAGATTCCCCCCAAACACTCAGTTTTCACCCTCTCCCTGTACCTTTACTCATCTATCTATCCGAGATATCACACCCAACTGCGCTGCCCCAACACAAGGTTGTTCTCAGGGGCTGTAGAGCACCATTTAAAGTGTGCCGGGGTGGGGGGGATAGATTTGTCCCTGTGCCAGGCGCCCTCTTTCCCTACCAGCAGCCTAAACCCTGAGGTTCATGAGCCCCTAAACATACATCCTCCAAATTTGAATGGATGGCATTGCACCACTCAGGTTTGGCCCAGCTGCTCGTCCATCAGATGGAGGGGTGGTCAAGCCAAATTTGAGTGAGTGGCATTGTGTCCTGTTGCATGGGGCAGCAGTGCCATTCAGGTTTGGCTCAGCCAAAAAGCAATCAGGCCACAGCTGGGCAGCCCACTCAAACTCCACAGCCTGTTGTTCTTATAATTCTTGTGGGGCCTCGAGTGATCAGATAAGAGATTTTAAGTGAAGCCAAGTGAGTCTCTAGCCACTTTACTGCTTCCTCCTGAATATGAGGGGAGGAGGGGGGCATAAAAACTCCAGGCCTGTATGGGGCAAAATTAATGAGATCAAAACCACTGTTTTTACGTCATCTAAGGAAAAGAACCAACAACTTCCGCTTATAACTGTCAACACACAAACTGCTACCTGCATAAAATTCCTACAGCCAAATCCCACGCCTGTACTTCCTCCCCCACAACTGACCTACCACTTTCTACTGCGCTGAGAGATTCAGGATGACTCTGAAACAACTGCTGGGTTTTCAGGTTGTGCAATTAACTGAGAAGTTCATTTGTTTGGTGTAGTTTATTAGCAGGAAGAAATGCGTGGTGCTGAACGCTCACTGTGTGTCCTCCTGCTGCTGCTGTTGCTGCAGGCCATTGCTGAAGACGGAGTGGCTGGCATCTGCTCAGCGCACAGAGGCTCACAGATCAGTGGATCTCTAATCTGGAGAAATCACATGACACAGAATCTCCGATGGGGCCAGGTTTCTCCTGGGTGGAAGAGGAAGGAAAATGTCCCTTGCTAATTGCCATGGTCACAGATCTCTAATATTCAAGGCATGGTAAACTGCAGCCTTCTCCTTCACAGCAGCAATTGCTAATACAGGAAGCCATAGCACATACGAGGAAAGGCATCCACAGGGGAGATGCAAGGTGGAGAGAAGGCCTTCACATGCAGAGGTATTACCGAAATGAGGGCAGGCACAATATGTGCTCTTGGGGATTCCCAGGAGCAGGTGTACCCTTCTCCCAGTCCTTCATGATGGTGTCTGCTTTCTGTGGTTTACTTCCTCCCTGGCTCTCTACACAGTGGGCCTCTGCCAGGTGATAGCCAGCCTAACCTGGAACGTGGATTTTGGGTCCTAGGAGGCAGCAGGTGTTGATGGCACTGTAAGCTCCATTTTGTGCTTCAGGAAAGGTTATAATTCCACCCCCACCATATTTCTGGCCTCCTAGCACCCTCCCTGATCATGTTGACTTCTTCCCAGTGAAGCAAAGGCCAGTCCCCCAGCAGGAGACCCCTCAGTCAGAGCTGGTAACAGTGGCAAGCTGAGGATTAATATTTGTAAAATCATG